TTAAGGATATATATAGGAGATATATCCAAATCTGAACCGATTTCAATAAAATTTGGCAAAGGTATTTCTGGGCTGTATCCGATATCTGGTACCAAATATCATTCTTGTGGAGTGCATATTACGAATGTGAGAGACTTAAAGACCAAATCGTATGAAACATGTATATAGGAGCTACAGCTATATCTGAACCGATTTTTACCAAATTTGATGTACTTGTTTCTAGACTGAATTCAGATGTCGGATGTACTAAAATTCAGTTCATTTGGATTGATATTGGCCATTTGGTACACAATTAACCCGCAATCGGTTGAAAATATATGTGGGAGCTATATCCAAATCTGAACCGATCTCGATAGAATTTGGCAAAGGTATTTCTGGGCTGCATTTTTCATCTGGTACCAAATATCATATTCTTTTGGAGTGCGTATTACGAATGTGAGGGACTTAAACACCAAATTGGATAAAACGTGCATATGGGAGCTACAGCTATATCTGAACCGAATTTTACCAAATTTGATGTACTTGCATCCAAACTACATTCGGTCGGATGTACCAAAATTCATTTCATTTGGATTGATATTGGCCGTTTGGTACACAATTAACCAGCAATCGGTTGAAAATATAAGTGGGAGCTATATCCAAAGCTGAACCGACCTCGATAAAATTTGGCAGATGTATTTCTGGGCTGTATCTGATATCTGGTACCAAATACGATTCTTGTGGAGTGCATATTACGAATGTGAGAGACTAAAAGACCAAATCGGATGAAACATAGATATGATAGCTATAGTTATATCTGAACCGAGTTTTACCAAATTTAATGTATTTGCTTTTAGAATGAATTCGGTTGGATGTGATCAAATCTAGGTCATCTGGACTGATATATGGTGTAGCTATATCTAAATCTGAACCGATCTCGATAAAATTTGGCAAAGGTATTTCTGGCCTGTATCTGATATCTGGTACCAAATGTCATTCTTCTGGAGTAAGAAAAATTTTATTTAGAAAGGAATCTGTATAAGAAATTAAAAAAAAAAAACGATTGGGCGATTATTTTCAATTCAAAATTATTTAAACAAATATATATCTATAAATATTGAAAAAAAAAATTAAAAAAAAAACATTTCGCAATATTCCCATTTTCCAAATCCATCTCTTACTATGACCCAAATTTGACTCACTAAATTAGCAGTGACCTAAAAAAGCCATAGATAAATCACTTCCACTTAAAAGGGGTCAGCGATGATGAGATGAGCCGTCTGCAAAGTACTTTGTACAAAGATTTCCAAAATGAAAAGAGGAGATGATGGCTGATTATGGTACTTACTTTTTTAAAGGCATTTTACAAATTTGTTATACAAAAAGGTTTTTCCTTTAACTTTTGACACCCACATAAAAGAAACTAGCAAAAACAACAATAAAACACCATTGGTCATGATGGTAGCATCATGGAAGCTTCGTGTAGAAACAGTCAGACTCTCAGCGTATGATTGGAAGAAATAATAAAAAAAACTAACCCTAAAATAATAAAATACCTTTCAAAATGGCGTTTTTTGTTCGATTCAATGGCCAAACTCAAAGGTTCACAAAGAACTCAATTTTCCTAATACAACAACAATAATAACAAAGGTAGTAGCTTTGTTGCTTGAAATCTCATAGATCTTCATGTCGGTCAACGATTCTAGGTCGAATCTTAACTAATTGCAGTCTAAGAGATATAATCATAATTTATTATTAAATATAGTTTTGAGAGATCGACGGGACAGACCGGCAGCGAGACCGAACCAGACCCAAAATGGCTTGCCAATAACAGAACACAAAAAATTTAGAACACAAAAATATCAAAAGTAATTGCATTCAAAGTGGGTGGGAGGGAGGCAGAGAGTGAGAGGGGGGGTGACTTCAGTTTTCCATGGCCCAAGATCTCAACTCAAATCATAAACTATGTCTATGATGAGATTTTGCCTTTTGTTGTTATTTTCATGGACTCCGACGAGATGTCCATGTTCGAAGGAGATTTCACGAGGTTGTTGTTAGCCCAAAAAAACGTAACGAGAATTTTTTTGAGAGAGCACTTCACAATAAAAATCACGTATTCTGTGTTACACCATTTTCAATGTTCAACATTTTGTTGAGAAGAAGAAAATAAGAAAAACTACAACAACAAGTAGTAACAACAACAACCGAATCATATAAATGCTGGTTCGTGCATAACAACGAGAACGAGCAAAAATCTCCTCGAACGCAAAAGTTTGGAAATGGTAACACAACAACAATGAAAACAGATTTAGCGGACCTCCTCCCAGCCAACCTTAACTAAAGCAAGAAATGCTCAAATAATTGTTCATAAAATGCTGCAGCAAATAATAACAACAGCAACAACAACAAAAATATTAGGAAAGAAAATACGAGCAGATTTTTCGAACAACAATCGATGACTCCAAGACTTCCAATGACGTCGATTATGATGATGACGATGTGCTGAATGATGATGAAGCTACTCACTGTGGTAGCTGTTATCGTTGCTGCTGTTATTTGCAAAACTAGATCTGACAATATAATGGCCAAAGTAATTTAAATCGAAAACAGATTTTGGATTTTTTTTTGCTTTTGTTTTACTACAATAGTAACAACAATAAGGCAAAACTAGTTAAGTTAAAATCAGTAGCTGGGCAAAAACAAAACTTATTATATTTTTTGTCGGTCGGTCATGTTTTTCTCCATTTTTAATGGCATTTGGCTCCACCCACAAAACGGAGAGGGAGACAAGATAAAAAATCAAACAAACAAAGATACAAACCTTTTACTTAATAATATTTACAACAAAACCAACAAGGTTTTCAGTTTTGACTACTTTGAAGTAATTCTGCAATGATTGTGGCAGACATTTTTTAACCCTCAGATATATGGCTAGAGAGGGTATATATAATTTGATAGGGCTAAAACGTGCCTTATCGAAAAAACGGTTTTAGACCCTAGGTCTCTTTGGACCAAATCCGTTTCAGGACATTTGAAGTCGATTTAGCGATGTCCATCCGTCCCTCCGTATGTCTGTCAGTCGTGGTGCGCACGATAACTCTCGAAGGGATTATCGGTTTTGGTCCAAACGTGGTACCTCTCAATATTATTATACCCTCAGCCATATGGGTAGAGAGCATATATATATCACTTAATACGGCACTAGGTCTCTTGGGACCAAATCCGATTCAGAACATTTGGAGTCGATCTAGAAATGTCCGTCCATCCATCCGTCTGTCTGGTTGGTGCGCACGATTACTCCCGAAAGGAGTATCCGATTTGGTCCAAACTTGGTACACAGTAATATTATTGTCAAACTTAGATCGAGTTCAGAGATGGGGAATATCGGTCCACTCCTTCTGGTACATCCCCCATATAAGGTCAAAATTTTCAAAAAAAAAAAAATATATATATATTTTCCGATTGTGCTCCAAAAAAATCGACCATATTGACCCAGTCCACCAAGTACCTCCCCCACAAAAGGTCAAAACTTTTAATAATTATAACTCTTATAAAATGTGATGTAAGTGACCGATTGCCTTCAAATTACACATATCGCAATATTTTTACTAACCCAAGGTCTGGTGTGAATATGGAATATTTCGGTCCACTCCTTCCTGTACCTCCCCTCAAAGGGTAAAATTTTTGAATATTCATGAGGCTCATAAAACACAAAATTTACATCCGATTTCATTCGGACTTGCTACATCTTAATATTCCCATCAACACAGGAAATGTTATAAAGATGATATAAATCGGACCATTCCTTTTAGTATCTCCCCCACATAGGGTGAAATTTTTGAATATTCATGAAGCTCATAAAAGACGAAAATCACATCCGATTTCATTCAGACTTGGCACATCTCAATACTTCCATCAACACAAGATCTGTTATAAAGATGACATAAATCGAACCATTACTTCTGATACCTCCCCCCCAAAAGGGTCAACATGTTAAAAGACCAAAACGACCAAAAAATCCGAAATAAGCATCCGATTCTCTTCAAATTACAAACATCGCAATATTTTTATTATCCCAAGGTCTGGTGTGAAGATGGATAATATCAGAAATGCTGTGATCTGCTATGAAGATGGGATATATCGGTCCACTCCCTCTGGTACCTGCCCCACATAGGGTCAAATTTTTGAAAATCATGAAGCTCATAAAACACGAAATTAACATCCGATTCCATTCAGACGTGGCATATCTCAATATTTCCATCAACACGAACTCCGCTATAAAGATGGTGGAGATCGGATCATTCCTTCTGATACCTCCCCTACAGCGGGTCAAAATTTTGAATGACCAAAACGATAAAAAAAAAATCTGAAATAAGCATCCGGTTCCCTTCAAATTACACAAATAACAATATTTCTATTAACCCTAGGTCTGGTGTGAAGATGGGATATATCGGTCCACTCCTTCTGGTACCTCCCCCACAAAGGATAAATAGTTTGAATAACAATGGCTCTCATAAAACTCGAACGGAACATCCGATTCCATCCAGACTTGTTACATCTTAATATTTCTATCAACACAAGATCTGTTAAAAAGATGGTGGAGATCGGACCATTTCTTCTGGTACCTCCCTCACATAGGGTTCAAGATTTTGAAAAACAAAACGCTCAAGGAAACGGAGTTAGGGTCTAACTCTCTTTAAACCCACACTTTCAAGTATTTTTGCTAGCAAAAATGAAGATGAAATATATCTTAGAAGCCCTTTTGGTACCTCACCCACAAGGGGCTATCTGTCATAACTTGGGAAACAATTTAGCGATTCTTTACAACTTGCTATATCTAAACATTTCTCTCAACCAGAAATCGGCTTATTTTTTTTCAATTATTTTTTTTTTTTTAGTTATAGACGACACAGATCGAAATGGTGATAAAATATGTGGGCATATAGGTGGAAACACATGCGGAAGGCTTTATATACTCTTTTCACTTAAAATATCAATTACGAAAAAAAAGATCTACTTACACACATTCCCCCGGCTTGTCGCATCTGCCGTGCACCGGATCACAGCCCAACTTGCAGACAGCCTTCTCGCAATTATCACCCATCCAGCCATTCAAGCATATCTTTTCACCCTGCGGCCCACAAGTGTAATGGCCAAATTGATCGTTGCGCGGACGACAGAACGTCGTACAGGTGGTATTGTAATAGGTGGCCGCACACTGAACTCTGACACGATAGGTAATGCGGGCGTTGCGTCCAATGTGATCCAATGTCTTCCATTCGGGTGAGGGTAGAATCACGCTGGCAAAAGATGTTTCCTCAATTAACCTTTCCGAATCTGAAATTGGGGGGAAGAAGCAAATGAGTCTAGTTAGAAATGTAAAGGAAATTCATGGCATCCCATCCCATCTATGGAGGATGTTGATGGTGATGAGAAGACTGTGTCTTTTTCGTTTAACAACTAACATCAAATGGGTGGTGATGATGTTGTGTTTTTGTTTCTCTTCGAGAAAATGAAAATTGTTGTGCAAACACTGGCGACAGTTTGAAATGAATTTCAAGTTGACAACATTAGCCGTTTGTCTGTTTTTTTTTTTTCTGTGTTCTGTGTTAGAGGCGTTGTTTTCGGCCCCCCAAACCAAAAAGGAAGCAAAACAAAACTAATGTTAAATTTAAATAAATGTTTCTTGCAGCTGGGTGTTGTTGTTGTTGCTGCTGCTATGTAGTTAGGAAAAACGATCATGGTGGCAATTGTTAACGTAAATGTAGATTTGTTAAATAAAACAACAACGGCATGTTGTCAGCATTTGTTTTTAACTAAATTCAAAGCAACCTCGACTTAACGAACCAACTTTACATTAACGACAAGTTCATATACAGAGGTCTCTGTCTCGCTTTTTCGAGAATTGCAGAAAGAAGTTGAATAACATAGGGAAATATGTTTCAAATTAACAAAAGTGGAAAGGAAAAGCCAAATTGATTTGGGTATTTATGGGGTTTTTGGGGAGAGCACGAGTTTAAATTTAAAGTTTATAAAATTAACTGTTATTGCTGTGATATTTTCCAAATTGTTTTCTAAATAAAAAAAAAAATAATTATTAAAAGATGTGTGAAACTTCAAAATATTGGATTTTCTTTGCCAAGAGGCAGTATGTAACCAAAAAATGTAGACATCTATAAAAATATAAATTTCATGGAAATAAAAATTGTGAAATTATACCTACTACTTCCTCTACAATATATCTCATATGCTACTACTACTTCCTCCACTATATATCTTATATAAAGTGGAGGAAGTAGTGAATATAGTCCAAACCTGATAATTCGTTCTTCGTTTGTCGTTTGAACATCGAGTTTGTTGCCTAAGTCTTTCGTTTTGCAAAAAAAAATAGCAAAACCGATTGTTGTCGAGGACAATTTTAAGAAATTATTTGTGTTGATTCTTATATTTCTTTTAATTGAACATATTTATCTTCCCGTCCGGAAATGGTTACAAAATGCATTTCTGGGAACATTATTGGTTTGCTAAAAACAGAGTTTGTTTCCTAAGTCTTTTGTTTAAGAATGACTTTATTTTCAAAAATTCCGCTTGTCTGCTATAGCAAAGTATGTTGATTCGATATTATTGGACAAATTGGTGATTAAATCCTACGTAAATATATTAGCATTCCTATTAAAAATTTTGAAACATATGCTTCTAATTGTAAAACCTCAAAATACAATTGAATGAATGTTCATTTCTTAAGTCTTTTGTTTTATTAGGAGCGATTTTTCAAAAAAAATAAAGAGAATATTTAATATATGTTGCGATTCTGTTGCCCAAAACTATTTTATGGTTTTGATTGAATTTTCCACAGACAAGAGTGGCCAATGGGAAAGTGAACTCATAAGAAATATGCAACGAATTCGGAAAAGTACTAAAGTGTAAGATGAAAATACTGCAACCAAACTCAGACTGCTGTCATTTCTAAGCCACTCGTCCGATAGCTGTTAAAATTATTCCAATGACAACTCATTATATTGTTTACAAACGTACAAAAGCATTTTAGTGAGAATTTTCCGCGAAACCCGCGTGGCCCAAAAATGGCTCGTTAGTTGAACATATCGCAATATTCCTTTCGGAAATATTGAAAAATGAGCTCAAGGTAAAGTTATTGATATTCCAAAAAGCGCAAGAACTTACACCGCAACAGAAAGAAAATAGACTTAAAAGAGCTAAAGAGTTGTTTCCTTGGCCGAAAGTGGTGAAATGCTGAATTTTGGTTTTCTCCGATGAGAAAACTTTCGTTGTCCACCAGTTTGTAAAAATGAAAATGATCGTTTGTATTTGCAAAAGAGCTCAGCTGAAAATATGTTCGGTTGGCCACCAGAACTCAAGCGCCAGCCATGTTGTTGAGGGCCACCATAACAGCCGATGGTCGTTCTCCGCTCGTATTAATCGACCGTGGCATCAGAATAAATGCCGAAAGTTATCGCGAAAATATTCTGGAGGGTGTATTAAAACCTTGGACACACAAACATTCCAGACCTTGAACATTCCACCATTACTCAGCAGTTTTACACTCAGCACGCGCCACTCAAGAATGGTTAGAAAATGAGGTTCCTCGCTTCATTTTAATATCTCCGGATACCAATTCGTTGCACTATTGTGTCTGGAGTATTTAGGAAGATCCGGTTGGCACTAAAAAATACCAAAGTGAGGTTCACCTCAAGCAAGAGCTTCACAGGCATGGGGCAAAATACCGCAGAGCAACATTCGGCCAACTTGTGACGCTTTCATTGGCCGTTTAAAGGCCAAAATTCGAGTCAAAGTTTACCAATTCGAACAAATCTCAACTTAGTCTAAAATTTGACACCATTTCCGACATATTTTCCTTTCATTCAAAAAAAAAAAAAATATAAATAAATAAATAAATAAATAAAGAAAACAAATGTAAAAATTTGTTACAGTCTTTTTTCATGTCACCCTGTACATTTTTTCCCGATTTCAAGTTTATTGCGGTTTATTGGTTAATAAAGATCCGAATTGATTGGATTTCGGCACATACAGAGAAATTTAGCTCGGACAAAAGTGTATCAAATGTGGTGAAAATCGGTTAAGATGTACCTATACGTCACGTATATATGTTTCATCCGATTTTGTATTTAAGGCCCTCACACCTGTAAAATCCTCTTCACAACAATGATATTTGCTTCCAGTTATAAGATACGACTTAGAATGACCTCTCATGAATTTTAAAGAGATCAGTTCAGATTTGTATATAGCTCCAATATATAACTCCATCAGATTTCACGTCTTTGCCCGCCTGACTTTGGGCCTTTCTCTACTGTTTATACCCTACCGAGATAGACCCATTGTTCCTTTTGATGACCTGCATAGAATCACATTCTGAGTCGATTTATGCATGCCCGTCCGTCGGTCCATGTATTTTTGTGAACAAAGTTCAATTTGCATTTATTACCCGATCATTTGTTATTTTGCACAAATCATTTGTTTGGCCCAAGGACGAGCCATTTGAAATTGGAGATAATCGGTAAAAATTTAGATATAGCTCCCATATATATTTTCGTCCGATTTTCCTTTTCTTGTGCACCAAACGTGTAATATCATCCCGAATAGTATGGAATTTTGCACATGCCACCAAATTAGGCCTGAACATAAGTATGCCAAATTTGATCGAAATCGGTTCAGATATAGCTATAGCTCCAATATATATTGTTCATCCGATTTATTATTTTTGTCCTCCGCAGCCGTAATATGCATTCTGTAACAACAATATTTGGAGAAATATGTCAAATACAGCTCAGAAATACCTTTGCTAAATTTTATCGAGATCGGTTCGGATTTGGATATATCTCCCATATATAACTTCGTCCGATTTACTTTTAATTGTGCACCAAACGTCTAATATTTGCCCAAATGGGACGCCCAATTTAGTACTTACGGCCGAATTGAGTCCAGAAGCTAGTATGTCAAATTTTGTGAAGATCGGTTCAGATATAGCTATAGCTCCCATATATATTGTTCATCCGATTTGTTAAATTTGTTACCAACAGCCTTAATATGCACTCCGTAATAACGATATTCAGGGAAATATATGAAATACAGCTCAGAAATATCTTGGCCAAATTTTATCAAGATCGGTTCAGATTTGGATATAGCTCCCATATATAACTTCGCCAGATTTACCTTTTATTGTGCACCAAACATCTAATATTTGCCCAAATGGGATGGAATTTGGCACATACAACCGAATTGATTCTAGAAGGTAGTATGCCAAAATTTGGCAAAGATCGGTTCAGATATAGCTATAGCTATAGCTCCCATATATATTGTTCATCCGATTTGTTGTATTTGCTACGCACAGCCGTAATATGCACTCCGTAACAACGATATTCAGGGAAATATATGAAATACAGCTCAGAAATATCTTTTCCAAATTTTATTGAGATCGGTTCAGATTTGGATATATCTCCCATATAAATCAAATGGCATAGAACAAACTTCAAATCTTAAGAAACAAATTAAATTAATTTACTTGGACTTTTTTGGGATATGTGTACGAGCATTACAATCTTGCGGACTAGGATTTATTTTTTAACATTTTTAGAGAAATTGTATTGTATTTTTCTGGGTGAAATTGTATCATTGGCATAGGGACAAAGACGAACTTTTTAAAATTGTTTCCTGAGAATTGGATAAAAAATATATTTGCTTTTGTTCTTTTCCAGAATGTAAAAGTTATTCGAAAAAAAAAAAAATGAAAAACTGGTAGATTTTTGTAGATTCTGGAACAGAACATTTATAATGTTTTTAATTGATATAACTTCCCTTTATAATTTTTTTCTTGAATTCCGTTTTTATATAGTTTTATTTTTCATCTTAAAAAACGATTTTTAATTGTTAAAAATTTCACCAAATTTTTAAACACTCCTCTTTTTCAAAAAAAAAAAAAAAAAAAAAAAAATCTACAAAAAATTTCTAGGGTGTAGTTTACCTGGATACGATGTGTTGTACATATCCAATGCCTGGAGTATCAAAGTAAATGATTTCTGCAAAGAGAACACCAAAAAAGAGACAAACAAACGGTTAGTACATTCACAGAAAGGGTATTGTATGCAAAAATTGTTGACAAGAAACACAAATAAAAAGGCGGGCTAATTTTCAAAAAAAAAAAAAAAACAAAAACTTTTCACCATTCGCTGGCACAAGGTTACGCTAAGGTTAAATTATTTTGTCAATTTGTTACGGTGTTTTCTTCACAAAAAGACATTTACATGGTGGAACATTTCAACAGTAGCTTGTTTTCATTTCAGACTTCTTAATGGACACATTTCCAAAGCTTAGCTTCGCTTTTCTTGTTGTTGCTGTTGGTGGCTGTTTATTTTAAATTAGCAACATAACAACAAACAAGCACCACCACCATCATTAGCTGTAACATTAGGAAAAGGTTAAGTGGGGTATTTGAAATAGAATAGAAAGACAATCTAATTGAATTGAAAGTTGAGATTTTTTTTGGATTTTCGAAGAAGAAAAAGGCTTATCTTCGTGAAGTTGGTGTTAAAATGTAATTGTATTGGATTCTTCCTCCTCCTCCTCCCCCACCAAGAAGGTATTGAGTTGCAAATTAAAATGGAGATTGCAACAAATTTGTTTGGAAACAAGAAACGTGAGTTTTTCAAATAATTCTGAAACAAATAACAAAAGAAAAATTCTTTCCGAAAATATTAGAAAATTTGAAGATATTTTCCCTCTGCCAACAAGGCGCTTAAAAATAACTTCAACAGCAAATGGTAGCCTCCATGGAAACCCAAATTCCACCACCATCACCATTTATAATGTGCCAGGTACTCTTCTTTTTTTTTTTTTTTCTTGCTGTGGCTCATGAAAGTTTCCTGGCTTCCAGCTGGGTAACGTCGTTCAAACTTTAATTGCTTGGCCGCAATGATTATTTACAAGGCACGAGATATGGCCCCAAACTGGCCATGAGCACCAGCACCAGCAGCAGCCAAGCGAATAAGAAATGAGATTTAAACTATTTCAAAGTCACACACACACAAAAAAAGCTCGGCAGGAAAAATGCAAGCGGGTGTACAGATAGGGCTGCCAATCGCCCGCCATCCATTGAGGAAGCCCATAACGAAAAAAGAAAACAACAACCGCTGCGATTTATCATAACGTGTTTGGTGAATCATGTTTCCACACCATCATGGATGGTCATAAATCTATTGTCTATCTTTGGAAAACTTATAGTTGTAACGATAGAGAAGCAAAAAAACGAAAACTGAAGTAGATGATGAAGAAAAGGAGAGATGGCCAGGCCAAAGTAATGAAAAGCTGTAGTTAAGGCAGGTCTTTAAGTGAAGGCAAGGAAATTCGAAAACGAAAAACAAAATTTAATGATGTTTAAGAGGAAAGTGTGGATGCCCTACCACTTCTTCTCTGGGAAGACAATCAGGTCTTTTTTGAGAAGACGAATAGGTCTTCTCTGACAAGACGAACAGGTCTTCTCTGAGAAGACGAAAATATCTTGTCTGAAAAGACGAACAGGTCTTCTCTGAGAAGACGAAAATATCTAGTCTAACAAAACGAACAGGCCTTCTCTGAGAAGATGAACAGGTCTTCTCTAAGAAGACGACTAAAATTTCTCTGAGAGGAAATTTTCTTTTAGACTTCCAAGAGATGACTTTCTTTCGAACTCCAAGACCTTCTTCTGGTCTTCTATGGAGAAGACCTTCTTCTGGTCTTCTATGGAGAAGACCTTCTTCTGGTCTTCTATGGAGAAGACCTTCTTCTGGTCTTCTATGGAGAAGACCTTCTTCTGGTCTTCTATGGAGAAGACCTTCTTCTGGTCTTCTATGGAGAAGACCTTCTTCTGGTCTTCTATGGAGAAGACCTTCTCCTGGTCGTCTATCGGAGAAGACCTTCTTCTGGTCTTCTATGGAGAAGACCTTCTTCTGGTCTTCTATGAAGAAGACCTTCTTTTGGTCTTCTATGGAGAAGACCTTCTTTTGGTCTTCTATGAGAAGACCTTCTCCTTGTCGCCTATCGGAGAAGACCTTTTCGTCTATCGGAGAAGACCTTCTCCTTTTCGTCTATGGGAGAAGACCTTTCCTTGTCGTCTATGGGAGTAGACCTTCTCCTTGTCGTCTATAGGAAAGACCTTCTCCTTGTCGTCTATAGGAGAAGACCATCTCCTGGTCGTCAATCGGAGAAGACCTTCTCCTGATCGTCTATGGGAGAAGACCTTCTTATGGCCTTCTATGTAAAGACCATCTTCTGGTCCTCTATCAGCAGACCTTCTTCTGGTCTTCTCTGAAAAGAATTTCTAGTCTTCTTTGAAAAGACCCTCTGGTTTTCTATTAAAAGACTTTCTTATGAACTTCTATCAGAAGATCTTCTTCTGGTCTACTATGAGAAGACCTTCCTTCGGTCTTCTATGAGAAAACCTTCTGCTCTTCTCTGAAAAGACCTCCGTCTCTTCTCTAAGTAGACCCTTTGCTCTTCTATGAGGAGACCGTCCAGCTCTTCTCTGAGAAGATCTCCGGTTCTTCTCTGAGAATACCTCCAGCTCTTCTCTGAGAAGATCTCCGGTTCTTCTCTGAGAAGACCTCCAGCCCTTCTCTGAGAAGAACTCCGGTTCTTCTCTGAGAAGACCTGCGACCCTTCTTTGAGAAGACCTCCGGCTCTATTTTGAGATGACTTTCCGCTCTTCTCTGAGAGGACATTTAACATTTCTCGAAGAAGAAGTTCTGCTTTTCTCGGAGAAGACCTCCAGCCCTTCTCTGAGAAGAACTCCGGTTCTTCTCTGAGAAGACCTCCGACCCTTCTCTGAGAACACCTCCGGCTCTTTTTTGAGATGACTTTCCGCTCTTCTCTGAGAGGACATTTAACTTTTCTCGAAGAAGAAGTTCTGCTTTTCACGGAGAAGACCTTCTGCTCTTCTCTGATAGGACCTTTAGCTCTTCTCTGAGAAGACTTTCCTTGTTCCTTGTTCCTTTCCTTTCCCTTTCCTTTTTCTCTGTGGAAACATTGTGCTCTTGTTTGCTCTCCTGAGGTAAAGTTTTTTCTCTTCTCCGAGGCTTAATTTTTACCTTGCGTGATTGGATGTTTTTAAATACCAAGTGTAGCGCCTCCAAAAATTAATATGAATTTATTTTTTCCCCATTTTCTTGCTTTCCTTCAAATACCTCAGCCATGTTAACTGCATGATGCACCGCCGTTCGTTTGTTGCATGCCTCATGGTTACGGATATTTGTGAGATTAGATTAGATTCTATGGCAAGAAAATTTAATTGGAAAAAACCTTAGGAAAGCGGGCAAATCATTCAATAGAGAGCATAGGAATGGGATTTATTTTCTTCTCTTTACATTTTTCGATGGTCGACTGGCTAGTTGGAGGGTTTTGTTGTTGTTGTTATTATTGTTGTGGTTTGTTGTGTTACAACATGTTTAATGAAAATTGATAAGGCATAAAATTGCAAACTAAAACTGACATTTAAATTAAAACTTAAAAAAATATCAGCTTTTGTTGGTGGGGTGCATTGGGTGAGGGGGGGTTTATCTTTGGCGAAATGATGTACCGTAATGGGATAAAGAACATTTTAATTGGTTAATGTTTGAAATGGTTTGGGATCCAATTGGAGTTAATGGGATGTTTGTAATGAGAAAAAGTTGGACGTTTGAGAAATTAGATTAAAGAGATGAGACTTTCTCACATCTTTTGATTCTGGGGTTTGATTTTGACGTTAGAGCTAATTTCGAAAAAGGAAAAAAATTCAAGATAATCCTTTTTTTCTTTTAATTGAAAATAAATGCGAAAACACTTATGCTATGTGTATTTTTAAAATTTTAATTAATTAATTTTCAAAAAAATTAAAAATTTGAAAATCAGACTTTTTTCGCATTTCCATTTATTCAGTATTTTCTTATACCCTCCACCATACATAGTATGGAGGGTATATTAAGTTCGTAATTTCGTTTGTAACTCATCGAAATTATAATTTTAGACTCAACAAAGTATATATATTCTTGATCAGCATAAAATTCTATGTCGATTTAGATGTCCGACTGTCTGTCCGTCGGTGGAAATCACTCAAGCTTCCGAATGAAATGAATTAAGTTGATAAAAATTTACTCAAATGTGTATTATGTCTGCAGGACTTTTGGTATTGTAAATGTGCCATGTAGGCCCACGTTTTGGTATAGTCCGCATAACCCTATTTTCGGAATTTTGGTGATTTTAAATCTTCGAATAGCCCTCCCGATATTCGGTATTTTGTTGATTTTAGCGACAATATTCACCGGAATTGTTTCAAATTTGGTATTTAAAGTTCGTATCAGATACTTCAGTTCAATACAGAAAATTGTGTGTGCAGGTCCAGCTCTTCATATAGCCCCCGTATATCGTTACCTACCGATATTCGGTATTTTAATGATTTTGTGGATATTTCTTCACTAGAATTGTTTCAAATTTAGTATTTGAAGTTCGTAATGGATACTTCAGCCCATGACAGAAAATTGTATGTGCAGGTCCACGTCTTCGTATAGCCCCCATACAACGGTACCTCCCGATTATTCAGTATTTTGATGATTTTACCGAATTTATTCACCGGAACTGTTTCAAATTTTGTATTTGAAGTTCGTAATGGATACTAAAGCCCAATGACAGAAATGAGCCGTGTAGGTCCACGTCTTCGTAGAGCCCCCATACAACGATATCCACCGATATTCGGTATTTTGATAATTTTAGCGACATTATTCACCTGAATTGTTTAAAATTTGATATTTGAAGTTCATATCAGATACTTCAGTTCAATACAGAAAATTGTGTGTGCAGGTCCACGTCTTCGTATAGCCCCCGTATATCGGTACCTACCGATATTCGGTATTTTAATGATTTTATAGACATTTTTTCACTAGAATTGTTTCAAATTTGGTATTTTAAGTTCGTAATGGACACTACAGCCTAAGACAGAAAGTTGTCTTTGCAGGTCCAGGTCTTCCTATAGGCCCCATATATCAATACCTCCCTATATTCGGCAATTTGACGA